TGAATCTGTGCAGCTGGCTATGACAGTCCACTTTCTTCTATTTGAAAGGCAAAAAAAAAAAAAAAAAAAATAGAAGTGGGATTAAAAAGTTGTTTCCAAATTTAGAAAAGCTTTTCAACATGCATAAAGATGTTTATAGACTTAACTTTCAGTTGATTTTTTTCAACTTAAATTTCCTTATTCTTCTTTATAAATATATCTCTTACACATTTTAGAGGGAAAAAATCCAATTTAAGTCTAAATTAAGTTGGGCCAAATAATTAGGGGAAATTATTTTCTAGGTAAATTCACATTCTTAAATGATTTGAATTGGGAAAATATTCAGGAATTGTCATAAAAATCAAGAGAAATGCTCAGTTTCTACATATCCATAAAGACTGAATCAGGGATTATAGAGAAAGTATTAAAAAGTAATTGCTAAGGATTGTGATGTCACTTATATCTTCAGCCTGATCACTTCTCCCTGAGCCAGAACATAGGTAGCCTTAATTCAGTGAAAATGATGAATATTCATTTCTTAGGCATATCTGTTATTCCACACTTGCGCCAGCTTTACTGTGGTGTAAGTGCTATGCCATTTGCAGTCAGGCAGATTTGAGTGTGAAGCCCAATCATCCCCCTTGATGACTGTTTCTAACTTGGTTTACTCATCTATAATATGGGATAATGACACTAACCTCTGTATTTTGAAACAATATAATGAAAGCTTTGAACACAGGCTTGCACATAATAGTACATATTTTTTTTCTCCTGTCCTTTCCTCACATGTATCAAAGTGTTACTATGCATATGTAGAATAATTTTCACCCAAAAACTGCATAAAATATTTTGAGGAAATGACTGTGGTACAGAGGGGAAAATACAGGCTTTGGAATCATAGAGATTTTGATTTAATTCTCAGCTTTACCATCTCTTAGATTTGTAATCTTCAGATTTCAACCTTTGCATTGATGAAATGGGAACAGAAATACCTACAGGGTAAGATTTTTGGTGATTAAATGTGCAAAGTTCCCAGCATAGTGCCTGCCACTAGGTAGAGCACTAATAACGACCATGGACATTATTTATTGTCCTAATTTTGGTTTAAAGGGCACAACGTCGGTATTATCAGAAGTCATACTGGAGAGAGTCAGTCATGAGTGGAGTGTAAGAAATAAAAGTGAGAAGACTAGAAATTAAAATATTTTAATGAAAGGATATAAATGTGACTTTCGACAATAAATGATATGTATTCACAAAGAAAATACTTTATCCTAACTTAATAAAATCGTGTATTAATTGGAGTATAAAATACATTACATTGCTTTCATTATCTCTTACCTGAGGGAAATAATATTTTTTCCCTCAGACTGAGTATAAATATGGCAATATTTCATGGGAAAAATGAAAGTCTGACATAATTGCATAAAGGTTATTTTTGTCATCACTTATATGAGACTCAAACTTTGACAGACAGTTTGTAGTCATTTATTATGAAGTCATATTATACCTTCCCTTTTATCACACCACCTAGCATGTATTACATATATCTTAAATAGGAACTAAAATTCTTTAATTTCCTTTCTGTATTGAATTGTTATGGTGAATCAGTTTGCCTATTACATACACAAAAAATAAATCAACTAATCAATAATCCTTATTAATTTGGTACGTTTAAAAGGTCTACCAAATGCTTGGAAGGAAATGAAAATTCATTTATTTTCATCTGCTTTCCAGCAACAAAAACTGTTCAAGTCCTCTGCCCATGTATCCTTTTTTTTTCTGTATTTGTTTTGTAGTCATGGTGTTTGCAAATGTCCATGTTGGAAAGCCAGTTAAGCAGCACTAAAGAGTTACAGCTTTTTTGCCACTCCTCCATCAGACTCTGCAAGGGCTTCTAAGAAAGCAGCTTACATTCACTTCAGAATGTGTGCGTCCATCTCCTTCACATTCTTATGCCAGGGCCTCTCATAAGAATGCTCCTTATAGCCAGCCCAAGGAGGCCAGTTTTAATGTTAGGAAAAATGTAGTAACATAGGGAACACAGAGTTAGAACTAAAACGTCATGCCATGTTGAACCATTAAGCTATGGCTTTATTCAGAGCTCACTGGCTGGAGGAGAGGCGGCAGCTCAGACTTTTTTTTTTTTTTTTTGCGGTATGCGGGCCTCTCACTGTTGTGGCCTCTCCCATTGTGGAGCACAGGCTCCGGACGCGCAGGCTCAGCAGCCATGGCTCACGGGCCCAGCCACTCCGCGGCATGTGGGATCTTCCTAGACCAGGGCACGAACCCGTGTCCCCTGCATCGGCAGGCGGACTCTCAACCCACTGCGCCACCAGGGAAGCCCCAACTCAGACGTTTTAATAAGACTTCAAGGTCAGGTCATTGGTAAGATTTCAAGGTCATTCTTAAATCTGTGGAAGATTGAAAGACTTTAATCTCCAGCACAATTCATTCACTCTATTTATTCAACAAATATTTATTGTGTCTACCTACAGGCCAGAAACTCTTCTATGTTCCAAAGTTAACAATGAATATAACAGACAAAAATCCCCATCTTTATATGTAATTTATATTCTGGTAGTGGTAGGCAGATACATAAATAAGTAAACTATACAATAATGTCTGTTGGTAATAGCGGAGAAAATAAATTACCAAAGTGCAATGGACTGTTAGAGTTGGGAAGTGTTGTAACTTTATATAGTGGTCAAAGACAGCCTCGCTGTGGAGATACAGTTTGAACAAAGACCTGAAGGAAGTGAGAAGCAAAGCATAGCTGTGTGGATATCTGGGGTGAGAGTGTTCCCACAGAAGGAACAAAACATTGAAGGTGAATGGGAGCAGGCCTCATGTTCAGAACACAGCAAAGAAGGCAGGGGTGTGGGAGCCTCGCGAGTGAGGACAGAGTGAAAATGAGATGGAGAAATGGTGTCAGAATTTACGGGCCATTGTATGGATTTTGCCTTTCACTTAAAGTGAGAAGGAGGGCCGCTACAAGGTTTTTAGCAGGAGAGTATAATAATTGGACTTGCATTTAAAAATAATTCATCTGTTTTCTGTGTGTAGAAATGACTGAACAGAAGAGTGGGTAAGAGACTATTGCAAGTAGTTGAGGAGAGATGATGATGGCTAGGGTCAGGGCTGAGTGGTGAGATGGCTGGGAGATATTTGAAAATAAAGCTACGAGCACACATTTTCGCAATATCTTAGATCTGCAATATTAAGGACCTTCTCAATCTAAGGAAGTAGAGTTTCCTGGAAAATCTTTATTGCCTAATTAAGTAGGGAAAAATACTTTCAAGTGGCCTCCTGAGTCTTTTGTCACTTCACCATCCTTAGCCTTACTGGAATCCCAGGACTCAGCAACTCTTCTGGGCTAATGGGTGGGCCATAAACAATGATCTCTCCTTCCATATCCATTTAGGAATGTTGTACTTGGCACAATAGATTTCCAGTAGCTAAAGGCTCATTTCCTTAGGTCGACATACCATCTGGCGGTTAACAAAGACTTTCCTGATGAACCTTAAGATACAGAGCAAGCTGGTTGGGTAGGAACAATGTCCAGCTCTGGAAATGCAGTGGAAGTATTGAGTTTACACTCAATGTGGAAAGCTAGTGCAATCTGCTCCTCCCAAACACCCCACCATTTAAAAGAAAGGATAGAAATTAAACAGCGATTGTAAGGAATTATGAGACTTACAATTGCCTGGAAGTCAGAACAACAAAGCTTTATATGTCGGTACTTCTGTAAAAATTAACTGCTTGATAGCAGTAAAAGTTAGGACTTAACAGCAAAGAATATGTCTTTATGTACCTTCACGGATACAGTTATATAATGGCTGTCTTAATTAATGTCCCTCATAAAGTCTAAAGTTTCAATAATATTGCATAATATTCATACATTAATATCTCATATCCCTATCTTGATCTCAAATCCCATAAAAGGGAGTAATATATCTAGGGATGCCTCCATTCAACAGATATTCCATAAATATTTTTTGAGCTAATATATATTTTACACAACTTTTCCATTTTCCCAGAAAGAGATATTTTAAGGTCAAATATGATAGTGTGTAATTGAGAATATTCTGAAACAGCAAAACACCATCTTCAGGATGACATAAGAGTACAAGAAATTTCATTTTAAAACAATGTCCATGGCTACAGAGTGCTGGAAGCAGTTCAAAGTTCAGCCTCACTCCACATAGAAAAGTCTGGCACAAGTGATTTAAAGATAACAAAAAATATTGTGTGTCAGTGTGTCAGTCATATTATATGCATTAACCCATGTAACATCACAGGTTATTTCTCACAATATCCACTACCATTTATGAATCTTTACTATGTGCCAACAAATTATAAGTGTTTTACAAGTATAAAATCTTTCACCAATTTTATAAATGAGAAACAAGGGCTTAAGTAATCTGACCATAAGCAAAGATTCCCTACCCAGGTACAAAGCTGACACTCTTAACCAGCACAAAATGAATCTACATCATGACTGAAACATAACTATACATGTGTGTCAGTGTGTGTGTAGATGAATTTATACATATCTTTTCATCGTTTCATGAAAGTAGTTTTGTTCCAATATGTTTGTATCCCTTAATATACCATACCCAGAACACATGAATTGCTCTGCTCTCTAACATCACATTTTTCTGTTTGGGACTTGTGGATATATGAAGGGAAAGTCCAGCTTTGGAGCAAGGTTATATTGCTCATTATGTGGCCACAAGAAGCATCCAAATATATCATGGGATTTCTAAAATGCTATGAAGAATGTCTTTGGGCATATTAATAGGACTGGAGGTTTCCATCCCTTAATGCTTCACTCATGTACTGCAGTTTGCAAACCCCCAGCTTAAAGTTGTTTTTTTTGTGACTATATTTTCCATTAATGATATATGATGGTTTATCAATAATATTTTTACCATAATATATTATATGTATATATTATAGTGTATAATTGTGACAATATAATTGCGTTGTTTTTCTTTTTCTTTCTATTAAATAAAATTCTCAATTCTTTTATGCATGGAATTTTAACCAAAGACATGGAATAAACTTACAGATAAAACATAAAGGCATATTATGTTATTTCAGAGTAAGTATATATATATGTATTATAGTTACATCAGTAAAGCTATAGATTCAGATGAAAAAACAATTGCTATTGAAAAAACTTTGACTATGTAGACCTATACAATTCTACAGTAGATTAAATGTCCACAGTTCAGGTGAGTCAACATTTTTGGTTTCATATGATAAATTAGGGAACATATTAAACATAGTTCTGTTGAGTTCCCACCACTAGCTACAAAAGCTGAACCAATTATTGGTTATATATTAAATTTCTATCTGTCTAAAAATATCAAAATCTTATTCTTTAGACTCATTTCTAACAATGCATTCTTGAGAAAGCAAGTATTTTTGAACACAAAAACAATCTCAACTTCCATAAACAAACGTGTATAACTTCCTTGGGAAAGGTTTGTTGTTTAATTTGTCTTTGAAGGAAGTAATTGATTTTTCTTGGCAGATTTGATAAAAATAACGAGGTCTTGATTGTCTAACCTGAAGGTCATGTCCTCCTCAGGAATCATCAGTGCATAATTCAGATTTCAGTGAATTCAAGCTCTCTCAGGACTCTCTTTTGATATATGACTACAACAGGCTATCAAACAGCTCCTCTGCCATGAAATTACTAACATAAACAGATCGTAAGTAAAAAACCATATATGTATATATAGTAAGTAAATATATATGTAAATGTATATTATATAAAAATGTATATATGTATATGTATTTCTTTTTTCTTTTGTGTGTTACATCAGTACATATGAAAAGAATAAATCAGATAGCAATACAATCATTAAGAATAATTTTTTACTAACTTCCCATTAATTCTGTAAACTTCCATCATGATCAGCCCCACTAATCCTGTGTTTATAAAATTTTGGAGGCTTTGATCAGTAGTTTTTGTTTGTACTATGTACAATGCATGAAGATAGACTTTGAAAGCAAATTAATAATGCAAATATGATTGTAAGGTTATTTTTCAACATGTAAAACAAAAAACAATTAATTTACAAGTTTTATACAATATAATTAGAAATAATTTTTATATTTTTATTAGAGGAAGTATAGAAGGACTTTCACCCTGCAGCAATTTTTAGCACTGTGTGAACTAAAAAATAATGGAAAATGCATTTTATAAAATCTTTTCTACAATTTACATGCTAAGTCAATTGGTTCATATTATCACTAACTTTAATTCAAATTAATGTAATTTGGGGGCTGATGAGTTAAAGAGATACTGTAGTCATAGTAAGTATGGATTTCAGTAAAACTTTATGAAGTAAATATCCCTAATGTTCATAATTTTCTTGTTGAACTTATGAAGAAAACTTCAACGAACACACTTAAATAGTGCTGGCCAACAACACTCACAGGAAGGACTTTAATGTCCTTTATAAACAGTATTATTAGGTTGAGGACAGAGAGGGCATGCAGATGAAATTTAAGACGACATGCAGATTCTTCAAAAGGAGAATAAATATAATGATGTAATTGTGATTTTGAAAGATCTTGATAAGATGGGAAAATGACCAAATTAAAAATATGAAATTTAATGGAACTAAATGTGAAACTTACATTTATGTTAAAAAAAAAGTCAATTGTGTACAAAAATTAAGTCAAAATGGATCAAAGACCTAAAGCTAAAACTATAAAACTCTTAGAAGAAAACATAGGGGAAAATTTTCATCACATTGGATTAGGCAATGATTTCTTGCACATGACAACAAAAGCACAATCAGCAAAAGTAAAAAGATAAATTGGACTACATGAAAATTAAAAACTTCAATGCATCAAAGAACAGAATCAATAGAGTAAAAAGGCAACTTACATAATGGGAGAAAATATATACAAATCATATATCTAATAAGGGATTAATATTCAGTATATATAAAGAACTCCTACAACTCAACAATAGAAGAGAAATAACCCAATTAAAAATGGGCAAAAGACTTGAATAGATATTTCTTCAAAGAAGACATACAGATGGTCTAAACCATGTGAAAAGATGGATAACGTCATTAAACATTAAGAAAATGCAAATCAGAACCACAATGACATATCACCTGATACCCATTAGGGTAGCTGCTAGAAAGGAAGGAAGGAAGGGAGGAGAAACAGAATGAGGGTGGGAGGGAGGGAGGGGGAAGGAGAGGGGGGAAGGGAGGGAGGAAAGAAGGAGGGAAGAAAGGGGAGGAAAAAAGAAAGGAAAAGAAAATTACAAGTATGTTGGCAGGGTTTTGGAGAAATTGGAAACTTTGCGGTAGTGGGAATGTAAAATGGTGTAGCAACAGCAGGAAACAGTATGGTGTTTCCTCAAAAATTTAAAAATTGAATTACATATGACCTAGAAATTCCACTGCTGGGTCTATATCCAAAAGAATTAAAGCAGAGTCTTAAAGAGATATTTATGCACCCATGTTCACAGAAGCATTAGTCACAATAGGCAAAAGGTAGAAGCAACCTAAGTGTCCATCAGTGGATGAATGGATAAGCAAAACAGGGTATATATACATACAATGGAATGTTATTCAGCCTTAAAAAGGAAGGAAATTCTGATACATGCTATAAAGTGGATGAACCACTAAGTGAAATAAGTTCGTCACACACACTCCACGAAAATATACTTTATGATTCCACTTATATGAGATACCTAAAGTAGTCAGATTCGTAGAGATAGAAAGTACAATGGTTTTGCCAGGGGCTGGAGGGAGAAGGGAATGGATACTTGTTGTTTAATGTATATATAATTTCAGTTTTGCAAGATCAAAAAGTTGTGGCAATTGATTGCAGAACAGCATGAATATACTTAACACTGCTGAATTACACACCTAAAAATGATGAAGATGGTAAATTTTATGCCATATGTATTTCCCCACAACTTTTTTAAAAAATCAATTGTAAAGTTACCTAAGGAGCTATTATGTCAGAGCATTATCTTGTTTTAAACAAAGAAAGAAGTTTTGAGTTCGAAGATAGCCACAAATTGTATTTAATCAAGAGTGCATTTGTAACATGAGTACAGAAATGTTATGGTAAACTTCATGTAGCAAATCTAGTTCAGGGGAAGGAAGTTTTATTCTAATTTGTGCTGGTTACATCATACCTTGAGTATTACATCCAGTTCTGAGTATTGTATTTAAAGAGGCACATTTTCAAATCAAAGGCATTTAAAGGAGTTCAAATGCAATGGTGAGAAATCTGGAAACTATGTCATACGGTAGACAAAGTGAAGCATTTCAGATTTGGGGCTCTGTTACAGGAAATAACTGGGTTTAAAACCAAGCTCCATCACTGACTAACCTGTGACCCTGAGCAAGCTCTTTAGCTTCTGTAACTATTACTTAAATCCTCACCTATAAAATTATGATCCCCCCAAATACTAAATATTCTGTGATATCCAAAGCTAAAAAACACACTGTAATTTGCAAAGTGCTTAACATTAGCTAATATTATTATGATTTTTATACTATACTAGTAAATGGCCTCTTCAAGAACAAAGACCTGGTGAAATATAATAAATAATTTAAAAGTGTTTTTAGGGCTGTCCTGTGAAAGAGGTTTATTCATTTTTGAACCAGAACACATAACTAGAAAGGTTTAGTAGAAAGCTAAAGAAAAGGAAATAAATTTATCTTACGTTGAAGAAGATTCCCACATTCCATGTTTAAAAATTAAATAAGCTGCCCTAAAAAGCAGTGAGCTGGGCTTCCCTGGTGGCACAGTGGTTGAGAGTCCACCTGCCGATGCAGGGGACACGGGTTCGTGCCCCGGTCCGGGAAGATCCCACATGCCGCGGAGCGGCTGGGCCCGTGAGCCAGGGCCGCTGACCCTGCGCGTCCGGAGCGTGTGCTCCGCAACGGGAGAGGCCACGACAGTGAGAGGACCGCGTGCAGCAAAAAAAAAAAAGAAAAAAAGGGAAAGGGCCCAAATCAATAAAGTCAGAAACGAAAAGGGAGAAGTTACAAATGACACCACAGAAATACAAAGGATCATAAGCAACTATACACCAATAAAATGGACAACCTAGAAGAAATGGACCAATTTCATTCTGGTCAAGATGTTGTGGTATCATATTGTGGACTTAACTTGAATTTTCCTGATGACTAATGAGGTTGATCACCTTTTTACCTGTTTACTAGCCATTGGGGGATTCTCTCTGATGAAGGTCCTATTCAAACATTTGCTCATTGTTCTATTAGTTTGTCTATATTTTTCCCACTTTGTGGATTACCTCTTCACTCTCTTACTGGTGTCTGTTGATCAATAGAAGGTCTTAATCTTAGCGTAGTTCAATTTAACAACGTTTCCTTATGGATAGCTCTTTCTAAATTCTCTTCATGTCCTCCATAAAATATCTTTGCCAATAAAGTTGTTTAATTGCTCCCATATTCCTGGTCAAAACATCTAATGCCTGAGAACCAAAAAAGATTTGGATGTGTCTTATACTGAGCCATTGCAACTTGACTTGCATTACATAATATGAAAATAATTTCTGAGCACAATCATTAAAGAATCATCTATGAAATCATGGAATGCTCAAACCTTAGAAAAAATTTTTCCTTTCAACACTTTTGGCTTACATTTAGTATAAGGAAAAAATGTATTGCTAGAATATCTTCAGTTTGATATTTTTTATAAAGATGAAAAAATTGGAGTAGAAAATCTCACCACATATCTAATATCAAAAAAGATGCTGTTAGCTTTTGTGGACTAAGGGACTTAAACATCATTAACATCCAGATATAGCTTAAAACTCCTAAATGCTTTGACTATTTCTGCCAAGAATAATGACTTCCATGGAAATGAACTGATACACTAATTTTCCACACTAATTTTCCAAGTTTCCATTTCTCTGTCCTTTCTTAAATGAAGGTATTAGCCCCAAAGAACTAACGTCTTCTGCCAGAACACTCAACGGTTTGAAAAAATTATCCTACTTAGTGTTAAGTAAATATTAGTATTTATAAAATTAGTATAAATTACTGTAGACCAATATTAGTATTAATAACATTAGATATATGTATCTAAATTTTCAGGGTTTTTTTAATCTGCAGTAAACTAGGTATAAACATTTTTCTGAAGTTTTTTTTTTTTTTCCTATTCCTTACATACACAATTAAATGATAGAAAGTTTTTCAGACGATCTGATGTTTTTCTCTGGAAGCCGTAAAAGTTGGCTAACTGTCCTTTAGGGAATTGAAGAGAAGTTATGTCAGTTTTAAGCTTTATAGCACTAATCTTGCTTCACTGTCTAAATGCCAGTATTCTACTGGCAATTTACAGACCAGAGATTTCATTTATCTTGATAATTAAAGAATATCACAGGAGTGTTTTTTATTGCTATTTATTTTATTCCAGAGAAATAATTTATACTCCTCAACCTATGTGGTACATATTATTTACATATTTCAATTAACACTTGCATGTAATGTTTCTCCGACTTAGCTCATGTTTGGAAGCTTCCTAAGGCCACTTACGGAGCAACAAAATTACAAATCAGTTACGTAGTCAGGGGCACAAAAACAGAAACTCGTGGATATGACTGGGGTAGCACAGAGAAGAACTTATGCTCTGAACTTGACCTCCACAGTGCATATGAAACCCCTCAGAAAGCACAGAGGACCTTCAGAATAGGGATGAATGCTTAAAATCTAAAGAGAATGGGAATTAAAGAAAATAAGACCAGCTTCTAGAACAATGAATCACTGTCTAAAGAATAAGAAATCAGGGTAGAGACAAAATCCCAGGCTCGTAGAACTAGTGTTCTTCCAGACTCAGTAAAAATACATTTTAAGCTCTATCTATGTGGGCAAAGCCATGTCTAAGACAATGCAACAAAAGAGAATATTACTAACACCGAGTTACACCACTGTTCCACCAAAAGAAGTAACTTACTTTATTAAGAGTGTGTGTATGACATCGTTTCCATTTAGTTCATCAGTTATTTATTTACTATTGCATGCAAGGCTCTGAAACTGGTGCACAGCTAAGCAAGATAGATCTCCTTCTCCAATTAATTTAAAAAGGCAAGGAAGAAAGAAGAAATCACTTTATTAGTTAATGAATAGCCATCATAAATAGGCAGCCATAAATAAGTGGCTGAAAAGACAATGCCGATAATGTGCTACGATTCAAAATAGCAAAAACTTATAAATGAATCTAGAAGATTTCCTAAAAGGGTTCTTCCACAAGGCCTTTGGAAGATAAGATTAGGCAAGGGAATAGAAGAAAACTCTTTTAGAAAAGGTTATTAGAGGACGTGAAATGAGAAATTAAAGAAAGTTGTTTTTTTTTTCTTTTTTTTTTTTTCGGTACGCGGGCCTCTCACTGCTGTGGCCTCTCCCGTTGCGGAGCACAGGCTCCGGACGCGCAGGCTCAGCCGCCATGGCTCACGGGCCCAGCCGCTCCGCGGCATGTGAGATCTTCCCGGACCGGGGCATGAACCCGTGTCCCCTGCATCGGCAGGCGGACTCTCAGCCACTGCGCCACCAGGGAAGCCCAAAGAAAGTTTTAAGAATTGATTTTTTTTTAATCTCAACCAAACAAAAGATTAATTAAGTGAAACTTGGAATGACAGCTGACTCCCTCACATCTGGTCTCCCTCCTCCAATGCTTGTACACCACAGCTAAAGTAATCTCGAAAGACACAAATCTGACAGCTCACTCTGTGGTTGAAAACCCTTCCTGACTGCACTAGCCTTTAGGGTAAAGTCCGAATATCTTGAACAGTGCACATGCCTGCAGGATCTGGGCCTCCTTTCTTTGTTACTCCACATTGCAGCCATAGGGGTCCTCTTTAATTTCTTAAAACCACCATGCTCTCTTGGCCTCAGGTTCTATCTAATGCTGTCCCCTATGCCAGAAATGTTCTTTTTCCTCCTTTATTTGCACTTGTTCAAAAACCATTTTTTTCAGACTCTAAAATCCTTGAAAGTAGACGTCCCATATTTGCCTCATCTACGACTTTACCAGGTCCAGTTGAGTCTGATTTTATCAATTAATATATGTAATTATGCTTTATGAAAGACCCTTTGGCAAGCATCACTTATGGGGCTTGAAACCCCTGGCATGGCCATTTAACAATTTCTCCTTGTCTGGGGAAGGGATGGAATTAAAGGACTGTTAACATTTTTTCTCCAACAGGGTGCAGCAAGATATCTGGATTTCTGGGCCCCTTCCAAAAGATAGGGTGAGAAGCTAAATAAGGGAGACTATGTAATATACATAAAACCTCTGCTTCAAGCCCCTTTGTTGAAGAATTATGATGGCTTTGAATAGAGAGAAAACAGAACCAGATGAGGTAAGAATGTCGTGAATGAAGATCACCAAGAAAATGTTAATTTCTGCCAAGAAGTTGGGGCAGGGAGAAATAGGGTCAATACACTTCCCAGAAATAACTGCTCAGTTGCACTCACAAAGTTCTCCCCCATTGCCAGGTAGGAAAACCAGTGCTGGGAGTCGGGCTAGCCTTACAATTAAAGCACATCACGTTAAGCTGGAGATAGACATGAAGTCGGAAATAACGATTATCTTGGCACCATTTAAAGTGGAAATAAAAGATCATAAACTCTTTGGCCATGGCTGCCCTTAAAATTTATATAAGAGGAGAGGGCTTCCCTGGTGGCCCAGTGCTTGGGAATCTGCCTGCCAATGCAGGTTATATGGGTTCGAGCCGTGGTCCCGGAGGATCCCACATGCCACGGAGCAACTAAGCCCGTGCGCCACAACTACTGGGACTGCGCTCTAGAACCCGCGAGCCACAACTCCTGAAGCCCACACGTCTAGAGCCCGTGCTCTGCAATGGGAGAGGCCACTGCGGTGGGAGGCCCTCACACCGCGACCGGGAGTGGCCCCTGCTCACCACAACTAGAGAAAGCCTGCACGCAGCAACAAAGACCCAGTGCAGCCAAAAATAAATAAATTAAATAAATGAAGTTTTAAAAAAAAATTATATAAGAGGAGAGGCAGCCCTAATTTGGGTAAGCTCCAGATTATTAGGTGCTTAGCCTACTTTCATAAATACTTTCATAAATATTTGTCGAATTAATAAATAGATGAATCAACAGAGGTGATGTCAGCCTAATCAGGTACTTAAAAAATGGCTTACATATAGTAATTTGCTAAATCCATAAATACATTGAATCATTCAGGAATAAACCCTATATAAATACACTGTTGTCATAAAAGTATTGGGCAATTTCAATGTGTTTTCAAGCATCGTGCTACATCCTTTCAACCAGACAAATCTTTAATCCATGAATGATCCATACCACTGCTTGGTATTATGGTTTCAATTTATCTTTATTTTATAGTACAGAAAGAATTGGACTTTGCCTGAATAACTTGCTTTCTGAGCTATGGCTTTTGCTTTTGTAGGAGATGGGGAGAGTTGTGAAGGAGAAGTGATCTGTTGCAGAAAGCACAAGATATTTCTAAAAACAAGTAAGTTACAGAGGTCTCATTTAATGCTGCTTGAACTCATGTCTACAGAGGAGAAGAGAGAGACATGATATGAAATTATGGTGATTTACTTTATAGGAATAAGACATTTATTTACTTATAATGTTTACTCGTTTTGAAAAGCCTCAAGTCTCACTTAAAAAAAAACACAGAAAGAATAAATAAGGTGATATGTTGCCCCGTAACATAAACAGAGAGCTACTATTATGCTTATCGGTATTGGGTTACATCTACAGAATATCAGAGACTCTTCTTTTATTAAATTAGGAGTAATAAAAGCAACTGACATTCAGTGAATGCTTATTATGTGCCAGCACTGGTCTAAAGTCTTTATTTAGATTATTTCATTTAATTCTCACCCTGACCTTGAGCGGTAGATACTTACGTTATCAACCTCTTTTATAGATGAAGAACCAAAGACACCGAAAATTTAAGTAAGCTGCTTAAGGTTATCCAAGTTTGTGGCAGGGTTGGGTCTTGATCCTAGATCTGCCCTAGTAAAATGTTGGTAATTCCATTATACACAATAAAAATTCCTCTTTCAGGAATAAATGTGGATCTAAAGTTTATTAATCACCTCCAATATTTTCTTCACCAGCCTGCTTAGAAAATAAACTTGGACTATCTTAACAAAACAAACAAACAAAAAGCAATGGAGAATGTCCTTTCTAGAGCATGTAGAATGAGATATGAACAGGACAGTAACCTATCCTTTTCCTAATTTCTATGGACCATTTCTAAACTGAGAAAACATCTATTTGATATTTTAACAAGTCATCTGAGATCAGGACTTCAAACTATCAGGTTGAACCATACAAAATTGTTTGTGTGATAGGTCAAAATTGGTCAACTATTGATAACTTCATACAATTGAACCTATTAACTTTCAGTTTTTCTCTGTGGTACTTCAACCCAGAGTGATTACAGTAAACAATGCAAATTAAAAATTCTATTTACAAATCCAGAATTGTTTAAGGTCCAGCAAAGGGGGGAAAAACCAGAAGACACAGCCACCATATTCAAGGAACTTAGGTCATACATGAAACAATCAGGATCAAAGTAACACAAAAATAATCATTACATCATCATGGAACTGTAGATGGAGAAAGCTACAGAAATTTAGGTAAATGCCTGGATGTGAGCTTTGAGAAAAGGGATTGGAAGAAAAGGGCTGTGAAACCATTCAAGGCAGAAGGAACAACATGATAAAGAGAAGACAACTGGGGACCATCATGAAGTGTGAAGTATGTGGAGTATAGACTAATTGGATCTTGAGTTCGTGGGGTCCATGAGGACTTTAGGTTAGATAGGGAGGAGAGAAGAACTGAAAGTGGGAGGAGAAACTGGACTTAATTCTGCCAGGAGTGATAACAGGCTTTTCCATGAGGACCTTGTGGGTAAAACCACATGATCTAGGTGGATTAAACTGGTAACAGGCACAGGATAAGAGACCAGGGCAAAGCAATTTATGAGAAGTCTAGCTTAAAGGGTCCAGGGCCAAGTGTGAGGGCCAGGGTCAAGGTGGTAAAAATGTGAACAGTATTTTGAATTCAACACATTAAATTAGAGACACAGTTTGAAGGAAGAAGTAATAGGATTTGATCTTTGATTTGACCTATGGAGTAGAAAAATGACTCTAAGACATTGAACCCCATTAAGAAAAATGGGGATTTATTATTTTAAAGATAAGTAAAATAGGAAAGAGTAAAAGGCTGGAGAGATTATTTATTCTAATAAATATATAAAGCAATACATGCTTATTATTGACTGCCAACTGTCTCAAGCATTGATTGATATGGAATGTCAGAATGTAAACACATACACACATATGTGTATCTATTATACTTTCTGAATCTTTAAAACAATGTTGCATGACAAGTATCGATATTTCAATTTTATAAGGAAATGGAGACTCGGAGAGGTAAAATAATTTTTCCAAAGTTGTACAGTACTAAATATTTATGACTCCTAAGAACAAAGCCAATACTCTTTCATCTATTTCTCCCAAGTGGAATTTGAAATGACAGCTGAACCTTCAAGTGACTGAATCTTAAATATAGTACAGAACAGATGACTAGAGCTAGAATGAGAAATCAAGACAGAATCATTGGATTTGAAAGTCATCTGGATTAGCTGAGCTTTGAAAGTAAGGTTTAGGAATAGGTGAGGAAGACAAAAGAAACAAAATTAAAATCCTGGAAGTTACTTAAAATAATGGATAGAAAGTATAGAGGACCAGTCAAAAAATGTAAGAGAACCAGAGAGTTATAGAGTGTTGGAGAGAACAGTATCATGTGTCTCAGTTATTCATCAACAAGTATGTCCTGAAAATTTATAAACCCCTAATAAATGGCAGCTACTGTGACTATAGTAGGGAACAAACCTCTGCCTTCGTGGAATGAGGAGGGGGAGAAGACTGACTTTCATCTAATAATCACAACTACAGTTGTACATTTTTAAAAAAATACCAGCTACTGTGACAGTTTATAGTAAAGGTGTCAGCTGGGGTGGAAGGGTTCACAGAAAGCTTCCCTGATAAAGGGACAAATGAGCTGACTTTTTTTATTTTTGGCCACGACTGACAGCATGTGGGTTCTTAGTTCCACGACCAGGAATCGAACCCGTGCCCCCTGCATTGGGAGCGAAGATTCTTAACCACTGGATCACCAGGAAAGTCTCTGAGCTGGCATCTTAAAGGTCCAGTGGAAGTTAAACAGCTGGAAATTGTTCTAGGAAGAGGGACTGCTGAAATAGAAAGAGAACATGCTCAGAAGGTTAGTGTCTAGAAGAAAGAGAGACTGGGGGAAACAAACAGTGGAGAGTTAGGGTCCAGAAAGAAGGATTTCAGGAGGAACCCACCTTTTTTGGATCAAATACTTCTGAAGCATGGACCGTGCAATCCTGGGTTTTTCAGAACCTCAGCTGTTTCAGGTTTATGGTCATGAAGACAGCTTCTATCTGTACCTGACCACAAAAGGATTTCTGCACTGCTACTCATTGACTATACCCACAGTTTCGTTTGATGATACAGAAGATCTATCACCAAAACGTATATTACTTTTAAAACTTATAAACTGCTAATAAGATTTATGCTAATTAGATTGCCATTTTAGGATTAAATTATGATGTCAATAGCGAATCTTGGTCTACCCTGGCTAACATAATGTACTTCAAAGGGATACTAAAATGAAAAATAAAAAACAGGGGTGACTTTCAAAAAATGTTGAGAGAAATCTTTTTCGCAACAATCCCTGACTCTTGTGCTCTGATTCTTTTTCTTTTATCTGTGGTTCTAGAATGGAACAGCAGCAAAATATAAGTCTCTGTCCCACGAAGAAATAAAAGCGCACAGCCCTCTCCACCTTTATGTGGTCATAAAACTGGGAGAAGAGCTAGGTGGTGATATTGCTCAGAAGAGTACTGCACCCCTACCTTAGGGAGCTGCACAATTTCCCCATGGTTACTTGGATTGTCCTAAACACCACACTTTAAGGAAGCCACATTTGCAACAAGCAAATGGATTTGGGGGAGCAGATATCCACATGGTTAATAACATTCTGTAACCTTTGTTAAGAAGTGTCTTGGTCTCCTAGCAACATTGTAGGGAAATCCATCAGGGGTGTGAGATTAGACGGCCATGTAGGCGGAATACCTGTAGAGTGTTCAGTTTTATGAAAAGCTTTCATTAAAAATTATGCATATTATGCAAAATGCTACAGTAATGTAAGGTTAAGATAAAAATCGTTCAACTCCCCCACAAGCAATTCAGGGTTCAGGGTTCCAGCAGTACCCAGTAGCCAAGGGTCTACAGTGTATAGAAAATAATAATAATAAAAGACATTATGTCTTTCTGGGATGCCAGATAGGTTAACCATTCATGATTAGGGAGAATTTCATCCTCAAAAGATGATTTCAGGGCATCTTGATCCAGGCTCTTCTTTTGTAAAAACCTTCTCCTAACTTTGGAAGTAAAGGGAACGGAAACATTTTATTCTGTAAATAAACAGTGAATAACTAAGTTAGAATAACAAAATTCAAGTAACAAAGAGGAAAAGCCCTGTAATTTGTAGAGAGTGGTTGAAGCCACGAGTCAAATCCCAGCCTGTGCAGGGCCACTCCCAGCTGTCTTATATCTCATACAGTGTTTGAGGACCAGCTGCATTCAGATTCCTGGGCCCCAACTCCACAAATCAGAGTCCTGGAGGACTGAGGCCCAGGATCTGCATGTGGCCAATCGGCCCAAGGTGATTGTGAGAAACACTTGCATTTTATAGAAAGTGTTCTTAACGGAGTCTGCCCATTCCTGCACTCAAGGCTTTCAGTTTTCATTGGAGGATGAGCAAATTTGCTCTTACAAAGGACCTATATGTTTTTCTTCTGCTCAATTTGATACAAAACAAAAATCCCTTTAAACAACAAAACAAGGTTTTTCTTCTCAGCTGATTTATTTACATGTGTGGTTTTACTCATCTTCCTTTCCTGTATCCTTCCAACTAATTTCATCGAACATTTATTGTCTACCATGTATCCACAACAAAACTACAAGCTGGAAATATAGAGCTGAACAAATATGTATTCTTGGCTTCTCTGTTTTAGGTACTGTGTGGGGTGCTGGAGATACGGCAAGTAGGATAGATTGCTTCTGTCTGTATGGAACTTGCATAAAGACAAACAAGCAATATGCATTAAAGATAGGTGCTCTCGAAGATCATTGTGTAGCTTACATCTTATGGAAACTAAGAAACAGGGTTTTGCTTTACTTCAACTTGTTTTACTTTACTTTTGTTTTACAGAGTCTGATAGAAGGACAACTGGAATAGCATAAAAAAACTGTCCCTAGAACTGCAATACTTCACTGGACACAAGGGCTCAGAGCCAGATATAACCATGAAAACAATTCAAAGAAATCTTTGGAGCATAGTTTCTACAATCTATAAAATGGAGGTTCAGAACACTTACTTGGATATTAGGGGGAAAGGTGATTATGTTAGCTGCCATCTGGGTAACAATCGCATACTTTATGGCTCCCTAACACCCAGGTGTAATTTATCTTAAGTGCCTTATCCATTCTGTCCAAGCTTAACCACATCTGCAGAAACCAGTCTTTGTTGCAACCAGGGTATCAGATGAGATAGCCTCTGCGTGCTTGGTCTTTCTCACTATGTTGCACCATGGTAACCTGCTATTTCTGATAAGGCACTGTCTCATTATGTATCAATCACATCTTCCCACTACTTGATGCCTACATCTATATTTTCAGGAACTGAGGAGACAAAATAAATTTAATAAGGAGAAAGTTCTGCTACAAAATCTGCTATGAAGTAGAACCTCTTTTTGTTGATGGGCTTAGCCATCTTACACAAATGGAGTGCTTGTTCTGAGAAAATATGCAGTATGTAAACCTACCAGGAATGTTGTCAATTTGTTCTTCCCTGATAGATCAAGGACAGAATGTTGGCAATTCATTCTGGGGAGTCACAAAAATTAGAGATGGGGAAGATTACTTGATACGGGAACCTTATCAGGAAATGCACGTCGTTAAACCAGAAGCGGAGGAAATGACTGTTATACTTGCAAATGAGGGGCCTTACCATATGATTCACTGGGTCACTGGAAAATCTCCCTGGGAGATTTTCAGCAAGGCATATCTGTGCCTATGCCTCCCTCTGGAAATATTTATGAGGTAGAAAAGTTGAAATCAACTTTGACGTTATTATCAATCTTGACTGTCTTCCAAGACCAAAGTTGATTTATTTTTCTAGGAAAATACATGAGAAAGTAATTGATAGTTGCTATTAGGTTACCTACTCCAGCTTCTGGGGACAGCTCATTGCAATATGCTTATTTGTTTTCCATCTTATGTTATTAGAATAATGCTTCCACACTCTTCTAAGGAGAATTCATGTAAATGTATACAGGAAAGCTTCTCTAATAGTCTTTCTTTTACTAATTGTGATAAAAATAATTTTTTTCTTATTCTTTGTTCAACTCTGTCATATCCATCTACATCTATAGATTTTCCTTCTCTCAGATATTAAATCTCCTGTGAAGAGAAAACAAGAAAAAATATATACCAAATTAATTATTCTGTTATCAAGATGCCCATCACCAGCTCTAGAGGATGTATTCTGCTTAAAATGGAGAATACCACTCCTCTTCTCGTTCATTAATTACCTTCTTTGATGTAAAATGAAAATGGGATTTTTTTTTTCCTTTCCAAAAGTTATGATTTTCTCTATTCGGTGAAAACATTCTAGAAGCCAGACTGTCAAACTTCTTAATATTTTTAATAATTACAGTCTAAATCACTGCCCATCTATATCTGGACCACACCCTACTCCTAGATACCAGGAAGCACCAGGAGGAATGGAAAATAGGCACTATTTTTATTAAGGAGCACTGACTGCCAAAGGCTTGACAAACTTTGATAGTTTGGGATTGAGGGGCCAGGGGCTTAAAGGAAAGAGCCATTTGTTCGTTCACAAAGCTTTCATCAAGGGCGTACTACACTCTGTCCACTAGAGTAGTCACCAGCCACATGTGTCAGGTATTGCAGGGAATGCCAGAGATAGAGACATGAACAAGATACAAGAAACCATGGAAACACACGGCCTGTAATGCTGTTAATAGTTGCCATTGCAATACAGTCAGAGCACAAAAGGGGGAGGTCTTGATTCTGGCTTGGGGTTTGGGATCAGAAAAGCTTACCTAGAACTTTCCTAGACTGGGATTGGAGATAAGTATTTTTTTTTTTTTGGTCTTCCTTTCTTTTTAAGATAAGTAATTTTTTGCCAGGGATACAGGAAGAAAGAAAGGAAAAGTGGAAGAGGAAAAGAGAAGCCCTTCTCCCTTAGGGGCCATACCATGCAAATGGGTAACTAATATTCAATGAACAATTATATAAAACATACAAACGTTCTTCCAAATCACTATTATCTGTCTTCAGAATTTAAGCTTGAAGCCTTAGTTCAATAAGGGTGTTTTTTTCCCTAAAGACCATGAACAAAAAAAAAAAGATACTCAATGACTATTTCTTAGTAATGAAAAAAAAGAGCAAAGAACTGTAATCTGATTCACGAATTGCAAGGCTCTGGTCTCCTTCCTCACTGCAGATTAGATAATGGGGAAAACACAGGGGTACTTTCTATCCTAGGTGAAATAACAAAGTCACATTTGCCCATTTTCCAAGCTGAAGCTCCTCTAACTCCAATGCACTGCGTTGTTCTTTACTTCTTAAATTTAACAGGAATGAAGAACATGCCTGTTCTTTTCCTAAGGGAAACTGTGACTCTCAACTTGATTCTAACTCCATCTGCTTTTCAGTGGAGAAAAAGGAAAGCCCCCACTAAATAGGAGCTATTGCTGCTATGAGAATAATCTTCCACTCCGCAAAGCAAGCATGCAAAGGAAAAAAATCCCTTTGTCCTATTTCTGTTCTCCACATTTCCTTGCTTTCCAAGGAGAGTTCTCTATTTGAAGGGTTCTTTGGGCTTTTGTGATGCTACAGTAAAGAGAGGGAGTCACAGAGGTAGTAAGTAGGAAAAGTAGAAGAATTAGTCAAAGTTTCTTAGTTGATTTATAGGATAAAATGGTGAGGGAAGGCTAGGAAAATCAGGAGAGAAAAGCCATATGGGATGGAAGTAGATAAGAAAGTATTTGAGAAGTTAAGAGTGTGAAGGGAGGAGGTGTCGGAGGAGCTGCAGAATACAATGCAAGTAGCTAGATGATAAATTTTAACAAGTGTGCTGTAACCCGTGTTTAGATACCCTGAGTGACTTTCATGAAATACTAGTAAAAAGTTTGAAATTTTAAAAATTTACTTTGATTTTCATGACTATATTTCTTTTATCATAGCTGTGCTCCAAGATCGGATTTTATGGCTCTAGTCTAACAAGGATTATGCTTCTTTGACATGTAAACTTACTGGTCAGCAAATAATATTAATCCCACTCTGTCCACTACCGTAGCCACAAGTCACATGCGGCTATCAAGTACTTGGGGCGTGGCTAGTCTGAATTGAGATGCACTGTAACTCTAGAATACATACAGGATTTTGAAGACCTAGTTTTTAAAATAAAAAAGGGAGACAGAAAGAAGGAAGGAAAAGAGGGAGGAAAAAGAAAGGAGGAAATAAATCATATTAATAATTCGTATACGAATTACATGTCAAAATGGTAATATGTTAGCTGTATTAAGTAAAACATATTATTGATATTAATTTACTTAATTCTTTTTGCTTTTTTAACATGACTACTAGAAGATTTTCAATTATACACGGGCTCACATTTGTGGCTTGCATTTACATTTTTACTGGATAGCAGTGTACTAATTTATGACAGAAACCAACCGCAAACACTGACTGAGCATCCTGTGTGAGCAGGACACTGTGTGAGATTTTTCTGTGAGTTATGAAACAGTTAAGTTCACGACCTAAGGAGTCCAGATTTCTGGGATTACTCCTGGCACCGTCATCTATGAGCAATTCATGTGACTTGGATAAAGCGTTCAGCCTCTTTACTTGTTTGTTTGTTTGGGCCACGCCACACAGCTTGTGGGATCTTAGTTCCCAAACCAGGGATCGAACCCGGACCCTTGGCAGTGAGAGAGCTGAGTCCTAAACACTGGACTGCCAGGGAATTCCTAACATTCAGCATCTTTAAACCTCTGTTTCCTAATCTGAAAAATGGAATTGATAACAGTACCTTCCTGGCAAGGTGGTTGATACGGGTAAAACACTTACAAGAGCCTTGTAACATGCCTGGCACATAATAAGAAATCAATCAATATTAGCTTTTATTACTGTTACTCTTAGGGAGGGAAGGGTACTGAAATGTTTTGAGCGCTCTTGAGGTTTTATTTTATTTATGCCTTTCTGAGAGCTCCATGAGGGCAGGGACGGTTTCTATGTTGTTCTCTCCTTTTTTTGCAACAAATAGCACAATATGTAGCAGGAACATATTTACTAAATACTGAGTGAATGAGTCAGGGATAAGAATGAACTAACAGACAATATAATTACTTTCCTTTTAGAGAAGAGGAAATTGAAATTTATGGAAATACAGAGGTTAAAAAGGTTGGAGAAGTCACAAAATTCATAGATGATAGAGCCAACATTTAAATCCACATTTACATGAACATTCACAGACTGTGAACTCAAAGAGCATTCCATCTAGTTAGAGAAATAAAATGTGTTTCAAATAAAAACAAATGATATTAATACGACTAGCCCACAAATGATGCCATTTCAATAACCTGATTGATGATTACTATACAAGTTGAGTCTGGAAAGACTTCATATCCAGCAGGGCTGTTGCAGAAAACGTTTGGAAGGGATGAGATTAGACCTCTGCAGATTTATTAAGTTTGATTTAGTGGATGCTTGCTCTGGGAAAAAGGATCCCTTGGCAAAGGAAACAGACTGAGCACAAGTGAAGTTGAAATCCTAAGGCAGACTCTGGAGCTGTGAAATGGATGTCTTGCCTGGAGAAGATAATTCATGTAAATTTATTAATAGGATTGAAGCAGAAATAAGCTTGGGGTTAGATCTTAGACTTTGAATAAAGGCCAGAGTTAGGAGTTAAAAAGGTATCAAGTAAATAACAGGATATTACTTCTTTTCCTTTTTAGTTCTGTCAAGACATGATAGTAACAGCGTGCAAGATGCAACAGAGAGAGAGGGATATTGGAGGTGGGGCAATACCTAAGGATGCTATTGCAACATCCAGCCATGAGATAGTAAAGATAAGAATCAGAGATTTGAAAATAGGAATGGAAAGAAAGGGAGCAATTTCAGAGTTGCTGAAGACAGTGTTCTAGCTTCAAAGGCCTAATCTGGATGAGGCCAAAGTCTGGGTCACATATTTTTAGTTTTAGTAAAGTAAAATATGTGACCCAAATAAAGGGCAATTGAAGTCTCAAAATTTAGGCTATAAATGGGATTTCAATTTCTTTTATTTTCCTTTTCTTTTCATATTCATTCTTGATTTCTCTTATTTTATACATAGCCAACATTTGGCTTGTTCCAAGATCTAGCCATTCTACTGAGAAATGCTTAAAAAATTGAATCTCTCCTCTTATTCCTATGCTTTAGTACAAGCATTTGTGTTATTTTATATTCTTTTTTTTTTTTTCCTGTTGGAGTTATTTTAAAGAGCTCCTGTGTTGGATAAAAGTATTTGTTTATATATATTTTTTCTGTCCCCAGTCCTGTCTTGGCTTCCTGTGGGTAGAATGTAACACCTTTTATCCTCCAGCCCAGAAGTTTCTACTCTTAAATCTAACATCTAATCTGTGTTCAGAAATGACTAGCTCCTAGTAATGACTAACTCACAATTTATTGAGGAATTTTAATCAAAAGAATTCACCTTTTACAGGGCAGAAATAAAGATGCAGATGTAGAGAATGGACTTGAGGACACGGGGAGGGGAATGGTAAGCTGGGACAAAGTGAGACAGTGGCATGGACTTATAAATACTACCAAATGTAAAATAGATAGCTAGTGGGCAGCAGCCGCATAGCACAGGGAGATCAGCTTGGTGTTTTGTGACCACCTAGAGGGGTGGGATAGGGAGGGTGGGAGGAAGGGAGACGCAAGAGGGAGGGGATATGGGGATATATGTATACGTATAGCTGATTCACTTCGTTGTACAGCAGAAACTAACACACCACTGTAAAGCAATTATACTCCAATAAAGATGTTAAAAAAAAAAAAGAATTCGTCTTTTAGAGCTTTACTCTGTAAAGCTTGCTTGAACCTTCCAAAGTTATGTTCTTTTAACTAATTTTACAATTAATCTTTTAAGAATTTAATATCGTAAATTGTCCACATTTGAATGTCTTCCTCACTGGTCTGTGACATCTTTGAGAACAACGACCTCTTGACTATTGAAAGAAGATTAATTTTTCGACTGTAAGTTGCTGAGGCTCAGACAATTGGGGTGGAATTGTAGCAGAGAAAAACAAATCTGCCTCCATATTGGATCTATTCCTTCAGCCCTACCTTTGTGCTCTGTTTTTTGTGTTTAGTCATGCTGGCTCTGCACCTTTGTAAAAGAATGTTGCCTATAGCCTGAAATATACGTGATAGCCCATTCTCAAGGCTCTGCCTCGCAGACTCCACCTTTAAAGGTATAACACGTTTCCATTCATACAGAGGTAAAAAACTACAGAACAGAAAATAACAATTGTCTTGTTGGAGGTGTATAGGAACATTGTGACCAGACCTACAGGGACAGCTGCAAGAACAAAGGATTCCGGCACCAAGAAGTTTGAAACAACCAGCCACACCCCCTCCCCTTGTAGTATGAAAGAAGCGTAAATTCTAACTCGGGTAAGAAAATTCTTTGGGACACGTCCACCATCTCAGCCTGCTGGCTCTCCGCATAAAGTAACTATTCCTTGCCCCAACACTGTCTCTCAATCTACTGGCCCGTCATGCATCAAGCAGTATGAGCTTGGACTCAGTAGCAGAAGGAAGAAGCTTCAAGAAGATGCTGGACTTCCTGCGATCACAGTGTGTGAATTTCAAGTATTTAATTATACAAGTATTTGATCTATGACTCTACTTGCACTCGAAAATGGTGGACTGTGTTATTACAATTGTAGTAGGAAATCAAACATATCTCTGGTCAGTTCTTACTGACCAGTAGATTGTTACTTCTGATCCATTGTGTATTTCAGAACTAAAATATATTCATTCTTGGAACAAGGGAACACAGATTGACAACTACTTTGTTTTTTCACCCCAGTCTAAGTTTAAATAACTACAATACAACATTAAGAAATATCTCATACAGATACACTGTTGGTCACATATATATTTATTTGTCAAAATAAATCTGTACATTAACATGAAATAGCAATGAGTGCTATATTCATGTTTTTTTCACGAATGCTTGTGCTTAAAGTAACACTAGCTGAAGTACTTGTGCCACGCTAATCTAGCAGCCATGTGAAGAATAATGACTTGGAATCTATAAGACTTTTCCAAAATCTCAACGGTTTTTCACTAACACCACAATACCTGATTTGAAAGGCTGTGGAGGATTATTTTAAATTCTTAAGGAATAGAATTGCCTGATGAAAAACGTATCTGTAGAATTTGTAGAAAGCACTTGTAGAACAGTCTATAAAGAATGATGTGAAGATAAGGAGATTCACAATTTTAAGCAAATTATTTACTACTGCTGGAGACCAGAGGAAACATGGTTAACTCCAAGGAGGGAAGAGAGAAGAGGGTCCTCCTGGAGCTTGTTCAAGGGAAGAATGGAGCAACTGGAGTCAGGTTGATAGAGGAAAACTGTAGAAGAGGACTTGCTGGTTGACAAAAGCAAGATAACTGCTTGAGAAAAAAAGAGTAAACTGAGAAATGGGAGACCTGGTTAAAAAGAGAGGTGAGATCAAATAATTCTGTTCTTTTTCTTGAGACCTTTTCAATTCTTTTCCTCTAGGTTTAAATCATAAACTTTAACATAGATGGTTCAGGCATAAACTGAAGCCATGCTTGGAAGACCAAGATGCTGTGCCCTGGAGTTTCGGAAGCTATACTCCAACTATACATTTGGTTTTTAGGCTTGCTAGTTTTAACGGTGCCATACTGCTGATGTGTATTTTTAACTGTTGTTGTTCCTATCAATCCTTGTCAATTCTAAAGAACTGCTCCATTTCCAGAGACTTTGCTGTGGTAAAAAAGCAACTGACAAGCACCTAGTACATTGCACCCTGTGGGTACTCCATAAACACTTGTTTCCTGCCTGGCTGAATGTGTCTTCAGGAATGTAGGCAATAAACCCAACTGCCTTAAAAATAACAGATGGTGGTATCTGGTAGGTGTTCCCCCTGAGGCTTTGTTAAGTATGTAACTTATGTCAGGAGGCAACTGAATCTTGCTGCCTGTTCAAAACAAGTAATACTTCATACGTGCATATGTGTGAAGGAATGAACTAAAGTCACATTGGTTCCTAATCACTTGAGACTTGTATGAGGATTAGGAAAAGCCAGCCACAATGAGGGAAACGGCTGACGTTTGCAAAATTGGTCAAGCCAAGGGGTCGAGATGTTGTGAGGTAACATTAAACTTGGATGGAGCTTGAATTAGTGTGTTAATGACTTGGTTGTTAGGAATGAAGGGGAAATGAGGAAAGTTGTGGGGAGGACAAGAGCAGGTACATATCAAAAATGTCGCTCATATTCCTGCCATGTTCTCTTCCTAAAGTTTAAAACCTTAAATTATGATACTTCTTTGCTTAAAGCCCCACAATTAATAAGAAAAGAAATGTGACATGAATATTAAGTTCTGGGGCGAGTGAGGCTTTCTAAATCATGAAAGAACAATAGATTTAACTACACAAATCTTTAAAATGTTCTACATAAAAATAAAGGTCAAATTAAAAAAATGAGGAACATATTTTCAGACATTCAGTGTTAAATTGTTAATATGTCAAGTACCCCTAGAAATAATACGAAAAATCACTAAACACCAACACAGAAATGAGATAGTTCTCAAAAGTGAAAATGCACATAACTAACCACCTTTCCTTTTTTAAAAAAAAGTTCAAAAAGATTTCTAATTGGAAGAATACAAATTAAAACAATTTTATCTATCAAGTTAGCAGAGATTTTAAAAAAAATAAGAGTGTAGAATATTAGTCATACTTTCTAATGGGAAAAAGAAGATGAGCAGGTTTCTTTAGAATCATAATAATAATGTTTTAAAAATTCAGTTTCCCACCTTTGCCTGTCAGTATGTCATATAAATTCCTCCCTGCCCATTGCTCCTGATTTTCTCACGTCTGTCTCCTTTCCAAGTTGTTGTCCAGACAAATTGGAATTTGCAGTTCTCCAAATGTGCCATGTTTTTTCACATGTTCAGGGCACCCAGCCTGGAATGTGTTCTACCTTTGTTCACCTGGCAAATTCCTATTCACTCCATATGACCCACTCTCGACATCCCTATTAAATCTTCCCAGCAGCTTTCCCATTATCCTCTTCTCCCCACCACCTCAATAAAGAAACTCTCTCTTCTGCATCTTAACTATATTTCTATTTTTCCGTATTTTCTACCACATTTTATTAATTTAGTTACATACATATCTTCTTTATTAATTAAATTATAGATTGCTTGAAGAACAGATATGGTGTTTTAATCATTTCTGTATCTCAAGTTTCTGCCACTGAATTTGATAAAAGAAATTGTTTGCTGATATGAGGTGAATTAAAACTTTTAAACCTCTGTTGGCTGCTTCAGTGTCACACTGGCATATATGCAGCAAAAGTATACCCTTAAACTAGATCATTGCACACACACACACACACACACACACACAAATATCTTCTCTATGAGTGCCTAGTTTAGAGCTTTTGTTAAACTGTAGATTTTATATATGCAATTTCCATCAAAGTATTTTAAAACGTAAAAACTATATTATTTGCTGAGTATTCACAAAACTATACCCTCGACGCTTAAGAAACCCATTCCTTTCACTCTGGAACTACCATCAGAGAAGAATATTACAAACAGACTTAATGGCTAACTAAATAGAGCTGTAATAAGAACTCAGTACTTAATGCTTCAGTTTGCTTCCCTAGGCCCCATGACTTGCTAAAATGTCAGAGAGGCATACCCAGTTATTTTCACCCACAATTTTTTATTTACCCCAGAAAACACTTCTTCTTATTGCCATAAAAACAAATGCCAAAAGTAATTTTGGATAACAGATTTTATTTCATGTAGGTCACCAAGGGATTCTTGTCAGTCTTAATAGTGTTAGATTTTCAGACAGATTATTCCATGGTAACCTTGATGATATGCATTTTGAGATGCGATTGAAAAGAAGATGTGGTACATCAGTATCTTACTTATCACGGATTCTTGGTGGATGAGTTTATATTAATTCATATTCCATTAGTGAAATGTAGTCCTACAGTCACCTGGCTTTTAACATTTTAAATATTTTAGAAGGAAAAAACTTCCTAAAATATACTTTATGCTTTTTTGGATCCATAAAGAGGAAATCAATTAATTGGAATTTTGTTGATGATTAAGGGTCATCAGTATGAACACATACTGTTGTTTCGTGGTCTCATCCCTTAAAGTCAGCCCTTAGGCATAAACCTGTCCATAGGCATTTTAGGATTTGGCCCTACACTAAGGGATTCCAGATTATCATGCTTTTAGGCTTTTCTTTGTTTTCAGCTGAAACTTAATTTTTGGCTGTTACTAAATCAGTCTCTAGCTCTCACCATGCCAAGTCAAGCTTGTTAAATTGCAATCGTGTTTTACCATATTTCTAACTCAGTCAACTTTGGGAAGACTGAGGGGCTTAATCCTCTCTGGATACAAGTGTCTCTGAGTTTACTTAACAAGATTTCCAGGGTCCCCTGGGCTGGCTGAAGCAGATCAATGCGTGGTTAACTGGGTCCTTCAGGAAGTTGACTGAAGTAAGGTTAGGAGTACAAGAGGTTTAT